CTCTGTTAGGCTACTAGGGGAAATGCCGATAGATTCCCTCCCACTCACCCTGCTCTCCCACTCCCTGACAAAAAAAAAAAAATGCAAAGGCAAACAGTCTTTACCCTCAGAGTTTTCATTCTATTGGGAGAATAGATGATGTACCTATAGATATGTAAATTCAATGTCTATGCAAAATTAAAGTTATTTCAAAAGTAAAAGAGCCCTATGAACATAAATTGTGAAATAAAGCCACGTGCAATGGAGTCTTCCCCCGGACAATGGTGGTAATGGTTACCAGGAAAACTCTTGCAAAATAAGAGCGTTTAATTAAATTTCCTTTTGTGACTGCATTGTTTTCTGCTATGTGGGTTAAATGGATCATCGTCATAGTTAAGAGCAAAAAAAAGAAAACAAATACATAACCAGTTCACTTTCTTTAAAGATTAGTATATGGCCACCAGCCGTCTTATACAACAATCTTGGCCAGCATTTTCACATCGTGTTTGCTTTGGCTCCGGTTTTGGGAATAGCGGAACATGCCTCAACTCACTTCCTTCTTAGAGTTTCTCTAAAGCACGTTAATATTTTAAGGACAAAGATCCCGCACAGACTTCTACGGAGATGCGTTCTACTGTTGGTAGCCCATCGAAGCAGTCTCCCTGAAGGGGTCTTGGGTGAGTATAATCCCCTAAAAATGTTTGGGCTGATCACCCTGGCTTTGTGTGCCCCTTTATTCTGAATTCTTGCATCACAAAGCGGATTTTAAATAGGGCACTTAAGATGCAAGGACAGGATTCTCAGGAAATAGACTAGGGAAAGGTGGAAAATACAGGGGAACTCCCTGAGAGCAGTCCAGGGAAATGTGGGCGCTGGTGTCTCGAGTAGTAGATTAGTGTGGGCCACCTAGGGATTCGGGGAGGAGATGCTCCCAAGACACCGCAAGGGTTGAGTACCCTGTTAGCTGAGATGAAATTGTCAGCTGCTGGCAAAGAGGTGAAAAGACCTAGGTCTTGAATAAGATCTGCGAACTACCGCCACTCCTTTAATGAAAGTGGTAAAAGAGAAGGAAAACGCCCTTCTACCTTAGTATGTAGTTTTGCTGGGGCCAGAGAGTGCCTAATACCAAAAGTGAAGGTTGGAGCATGGAATCCCGGGACCGACAGGAATTGTAGCATCCGAGTCTGATGCGAAGATAATGGATGCAGACCCTTTGCCATCATAACAATTTAGACCCCTTTTAGAGAGCCAGATGAAGCCAAGGCATGGGGAAATAACTTATTTACGTAGATGTTATCTCCCTGGTTCTAATTGTGAATTCTTTGAGGGCGTGGATTATTTCAATGTTATGATTGTATTCCTACCATTTAGCTACTATCTGGAATAGAACAAGTGCTTACTAAATGCTTGTTGATTGGCAGAAAGGGAAGCTATGTAAATTATATTGTCATTGAAGAGTTATAAAATTGTAAAGCTGGAAGCAAGCTTAAAGGTGTTTGAGTTACTGCATTTTAATAATTTGACACCAAAGGAAGCATAATTGATATTCACATAGTAGTTTAAGGTTTGCAAAACACTTTACCTGCATTCTCTATTGAACTTGATCCTAAAAAAAAAACTATGTTAAGAAGTGTTACAGGCATAATTATCCCCATTTTATAAGGGGGAGAAACTGAGACTGAGGTTGAGATTTGCCCAGGATTACACAACTAGACTTTCCTGACTTCAGATCCGGCATTCTAGCTACTATGCCACACTGCCTCTCCTGTCACTAGCTGAAAACACTTAGTGAGGGTTAAAATATAGCTGTCAGTTATTGACTTAATCATAGATTTAGAGCTGGGTGATATCTTAGAAGCTAACTAGTGCACCCCCCTCATTTTACAGAAGAGAAAACTGAGGGCCAAAGATTTAAAGGGATTTGCCCTAGATCATCCTAAGGAATTATAGCTTCCCCAACCAGCTAAAACTAAGAAGGCCCAGAGAAGTTGAAAAAGCCCTGAAAGGGAAACCGAGTCACCCAGTGTAAGATCAGCAGGGACCTGGGGCAGGGTCACCAGCACAGGTGGAGCAGAGGCTAGTAACGGGGCTGAGGCCTCTTGCTAGTTCTGAACCTTCAGTTCACCTCTTAGTTCAAGTGGACTTGCGATCACCTTCCTATTCCTCTAAGGAAGTGGCTAGCCACTTGCCTGTCCAAGGCGACCTAGTTAGTTGCTTCTGACCAGTTTCCCCTGCCCCAAGGGTGAGAGTAAGGGAGGGGAACACAGTGAACTCTCACTTCTATCTCCACCTTACCTTCCATCCCTGCCATTAGCACACAGCTTGTTGGAGGTTTCCAGTGAGATTTTGTTTTTGAAAGCAGCTTCAAAGGGAAACAGATGAAGGGGGAAATTCCATTGCAACACCTCCCCCACATTTTTTTTTCTGCTATTAAAGCTGCTTTCTCTTTAGCCAATGTGTAACCCAGTGTAATAGAAAGAATGTCCCAGGATATGAACTCATGTACAGGGGACTTTCCAAGATTAACTGTTAAAGTCAGGGAATTTCCACTGGGATCATACAGATTCCCAATATAGAGGTACTTATGCTAATTTTTACACAGCCTCTCTAATTCAGTATAACATGACATATAGAGAATACTATTGGAATTTCAAGAATTCAGGAGTCCTCTCCATATCATGAGGCATCACAATAGGTCTTTATGGGCAGTTTTTTTGGGGGGAGGGAGGGAGGTGTTTTACACAGAGTTCACTAGAAGAAGGGGAGGTAACCACTAAGGGATATGTTTTAGGTCTACAATGTCACTAAGTCAACGGAAGGTCATGGTCACCATGTCTGTTACCAGTCAATCTCTTGTTTAGACAAAATAGATTGGGGAGTGATCGTATATCTTGACTTCTGGAATGTATATGGTAACTGAGGGAGTAAATAGGAGATAGTTCTGTTTATACAAGGGAAATTCTACAGAAGTCGTCTTGTTCTGGTAACAGAGACAGATAGTTTGCTTCAGTGGGGCCCACTCATGAGTTATTGCCAGAAATATAGTCTTTTGGCTGGGGTCCAAATGAAGGGGGGGGGTGACGCCCTTAGGAAGAGCGGGCATGAGGGGTCTCAGCTTCTAAACTTGAGAACAGCTCAGCATCAGAATGGGGGAATTGCGAGCCTTTAGTACAGACTGATTGGGGAGGGGCCAAGCAGCTTGGAGTGATGGGAGGAGGGGTCCAAGAAGTGGCCAAGCAGTTTTGGGTGAGGGGAGGAGGGGTCTAGGGAGATCTGGATGGGGGTGGCCAGCAAGCTGGGGCGAAAGGAACACTGGCTCCTAGCTAGGATTAAGGGTGGGAATGGCCAGCAAGGCAAAACAATGGGAAAGCCAGTTGATTGGGGAGGTGGACCGTTTGGAAAAGGATCCAGGTGAGAATTTCTGTTTGGAATGTCTGAGTGATTTGAACAGACAATGAGAATAGATAATGAAGGGAGCTGGAAGGGGAAGTTTGCTTTCAAAGGGAAATAAGGCAGTTTCTAAAACTTTAAGGGTTTCCTGGGACCGGTAAACAAAATTGAAGCCAGGTTCTTTTTGTCAAAGAGAGATAAGTGAGCCTACAAGGAATCTAAAAGTTTTAATGTTTTTCTGGGAATTGTAGGTAAACCTCTTCACAACCACCTCATCAGTGTCATGTGTATTGAGAATATAGATAGCCTATGTGCTCCAGGGGCATGCTCCTACATTGATGTCAAGAAACCTAGAGGAAAATACCCCAGGCCGTTGGGTGACCACCATGTAGAAGATTTACGTGAGAGCATGGGGGCAAGAGTTTTTGCAGGATGAGCAGGCCTTGATGAGATCACAGTTCCATCAAATCTGAAGTATGCAGATAGTATTATCTTTGCTGAGCTTTGCAAGGGAAAGGCCCATGTCTCACTGGACCTTGTGCTTTGAGGGCATTAGAATTTTGTTAATCAATACATGCCTTCATTCAAACCTAGGAGGTATTTTATTGCCAGAGGGACTCCATGGGAAAGATGAATATGATCTGTTCAGGATAAGAATTGATCACATAGTAATTACTGGGGGAAAGGGGGAACAGGGTGTTATCCCTTCTCAATTCTCATGGTCTTAGAGGAGAGGTAGTGTGTCTTAATGGATTGGCAGCTGGTCTTAGAGTCAGGAGAACCTAGGTTTAAGTCCTCCTGTCTCTGACATGTATGGATGATATCACCCTGGACAAAATCCAAGCCTGTAAAGTAGCAGAGGAGGTATGGATATGATGAGGTTCAGGGGCACCCCAAAATGTGGAGGTGCGAGGTTGTCTCAAAATAATTCGATCAGGCAGTTTCCAAATCAAGTAAAGGTATTTATTGGGGGTAATAGACAACATAATACAACACAACATACCAAGCACAACACACCAAGCAGGTTCTCCTGGCCCTTAAGGGAGATGCAGCTTAAGGGAAACCCCTGCTTAAGGGGAGAGGGTGGCAACCTGAGGGGAGTCTCATAAGGGAGATGCCAAAGAAAGGGAGGAATTCCCACTAAGGGGGACACCCTCCACTTAAGGAAGATGCCCCCAGCCAGGAGAGGTTAGTGATTCTTATAAAGTGAAACCTGTCCTGGTAATCAGGGACTGTAGTTTCAGAGTTTAGGGCATTATCTATTCCATTGTTCACCACCACCACCACCACCACCCCCACCTCCCCCACCTCCCAGCCAGAAGAGCTGGTGTTAGTTTCCTCGACTCCTAAAGTGGCTTTAAGTGGTACTTAAGATAATAGATTTCTCATTTGAATCTCAAAGTCTCCACCCTCAAGAAGCAGACACCCAAATTCATTTGGGAAAAAGGGCAAGGGTCCTGCATTCCTCATCAGATATGCAGGGTTAGAGGGAGTTTTCTCACTTTGAATTCCCTACTGGAATCAAATCATAGATCTGTACAAAATCAACAATAACAAAACCACATTGGTAGAAGATTGCTCTTTTCCTTTCTGATTTATGAGAAATTAAAGGTAATTTAAAAATTAAAAAATTTTAAAGTAATAAAAACAAATTGAAGGTGATTAAAGATGGGCTTTGCACTTCATGAAAATAATGACAAAGACCTCATAAGAGACAGTGAGAAGGAGCAAGAGATGTCAATAATTATTGGTTGAGAGGAAGCAGGAAGTAACTGGCACATAGTTTTAGCTTCTTTGAGGTTCAGTAACCAGACATTTCAATCAGAACAAAAATCTCCCATATACACAATGTCATGGGAGAAAACGACTCTAAATTTTAGCAAAGGAGACATTTTACTGTTTCATCTTTTTTTCTTATTCCTACTCTTTCTTAAAGTGGACCTATGAGTCACATCTTATATCTTTGTAGATGATGTTTCCCTCAGTGTATTGTAAGACACAGGAACTGTTCAGGTTTTCTCTTTTTGTTCCTAACAGGTGACTACTAGGTTGGTTCTAGGCAAGTTCCTATGAGTTGACCAATCTCTCATCCTTTTGCTTTCTTTGGAAAGCCTTCCTCTTCTTTCTTGTCAATTAAAATTTTACCCATCCTTCTCCCAAGAGCAACTCCAAAGTCCCACTACCTCCACTGTGCCTTCAGAGATCACCCTATTCAAATGTATATGGTTGCTAGCTGTGCCCCTACTGATTACCTTCTAACTAGTTTGTGAACACCTGGAGGAAAGGAACTGTTCCCTATACAGTACCTTTGTATTCATTACTAGTACCCAGTAAATAAAGATTAAAGGAAAACAAATGAATATGAAAAGATAAAAGATGTAAAGGGAAGGAGCCAGGGCTTCTAACAGGGGAAGAATATGGGGGGAGGGAGAGATAGGAGAAGGGAACGGGGGAGGAAAGAAGCTGTGGGAAAAGGAAAACTGGCCAGAGGGGATACTAATACATTTAGGGTCTGACTAGGATTTTACAAAATGCTCTTTTCAAGATTAAAAGGGGAAAAGGGTGGAGTCTGGGCAGTAGTTTGAAGCCCCACCCACCGCCTTTCTTGGCTTTTAAAATTTCTGGGTTTGCAGTTTTCGAGTTCACAGTCTCTGAAGGTCTGACTTACTTTATTTTTTCACCGAGCCTTTGGAAAGACTGGAGATGAGTTGGAAACACAATCCAAGGAGCTACAACTATGGTTGGCAGACTACAGGCTCTGAAAGTTGGTACGGGCAACCACACCAGGGATCAGGTAAGTCACCAAAGGAATTGAAGTAGAACAATGCTAACCTGGGGACAACTGGAACAGAGTCCGCTTCCTAGGAGAGACTGACAGAAAGTGAATTATCAGGAGCAGAGTGCTGCTCTGTCCATCTGCCCTGTCTCATGAGGCTTTTCCAGCTCGTAGGATCAAAGATTTAAAGCTAAAATGTATCTCAATAGGTCATCTAGTCTACCCCACTTCCATTTAACAAATGAGACAATTTAAGTCCAAACAGGGTTAAGTGAAAGCCCAAGATGACAAAGGCAGTAGTAGTAAGTAGAACAGCTAGCTTTGGAGGTCGCTTCCAGCTCTAGGTCTTCAATCCTAGTCGACCTGCTTCATCCAACAGATAAGAAAACCCACCTGCAGCGGTCAATGACTTTGCTGCCCCAAATCACTGCTCTAGTGAGAGGCCAGCTTGGGGGGGGGGGTGGAATGTAAGATTGAGGGGACAGTGGTCGTTAAGCATTTTGTCTACACCTTTAGTGTGTAATGGTGTATATTTTAGCTACCTCTGGGTCTTCCCTTTCAAGACTTCCAAGAGAACAGGGCTGGGGTCTGATTTTGCTACACTGAGAATGTGTAAAATGGGCTCAATAAATTTTTAAAATTCAGATAAAGTCATTTAAACAGACAGAAATTGCAAGCTGAGTTCTAGGGAAGTCTCATGAATTGAAATGGTAAATTTGAGTATATGCTTTAAAAAATATGCCTCCTTCTAGAGATTAGATTTATTGACCAAGCTTTCCTCTCCAATCTATCAGAAATGATGGATCGGATATCTGCCTAACAGAGATCAGTCTTTGCCCACTAACAGAGAAGTTCTATTCAGTAACAAAGACCTTATTTATGAAACTATGCAGTCCTCTTCCTGTGGGTTTTTTTTTCCATATTGAACTGTTGTCTTTGATTTAGAGGCAGGCCCAGCCCATGACTCCAGATCTGCTACTTAACTCTTTTGAGTGTGACAACAGGCGGGTGATTTTCCTGCCTTGGGTGTTGGGTTTCTCTGTAAAATGGGGAATAGATGAGGTAGATCTGATGGGGTGCTTGGGTACCTGTGCTTGGACCCCAATTTCTCCCTGGCCTCAGAAACTCTGTCCCTGGCAGTTTTCCCCCAGCCCAAGGACACTGTCCCTAGCTATTATTCATGAGTGGGCCTCAGCAAAACACTTATCTCTCTCCCTGGTGATTCAAAGCTGGATGAGAGAGGCCTGGGCAGCTCCCAGCCTTAAGATCATGTCTCTGGAAGCCTCCCAATTCTTTAGTAAGCTTCTGTCTTGTGAGAAAACTTTTCCTTGTTGCTAATCAGGACGGAGAGAAAGGGGTGTATTGTTTGGGCCAAGGAGTTTTTGTCCCTGGCTGGCGTAGGGACTCTTCCTCCTGCCAGATTCCCAAGATCCTCTGACATCTCTCCCTCCCTTCCTTGCCTGGTATACTCCCTACACTTTCCCATCCATAGCTCCGAAAGACACCTGGACCTTTAGATTACCTAATTAGTGTCCCTGGCATTCTTTTCCCATGCCCTTTTCCATATAAACCCCAGCTCCATCCTCAGTCTCTCGAAGGTTCCTTAAGAATCCTTGCCCATTGAAAAACATAGCAATAAATGTTTGTCAATTTGACTCAGTGCTTGAGTCTGTGAATTCATTCCAGACAAACCTCGTCCTGTACTCCGGTCTTTGAGGGGTCTCAACATCTCCGACCTCAACAGGTCCCTATGGTATCCTTCCATGCACATAAAATCTATGATCCAAAATTGGGAATCTCCTTTAAGGCGCCTCATATGTTGAGCCTCCCAACACGTTTAAAAAATTAACTGTACATTCTAGTAATAGATAAAGTTAACTATTTAGATAATATAATAAATATTCTATAATCTGTAACTTTTATATATATAAACAAATGTAGATAATTATACGGAATAAATAATAGTATCTAGAATGAACTTTTAAAAAGTAAACTACCCACAGCCTGGCTTAGTAGACATTCCTCCAGAAAGGAAGACTGGATTCCTGTTCTGTCTTCCTCTGACACATGTTAGCAACTGTAACTGATGTGACTTCTTAACTCCCCAGACAACCCATGAGATTTAAGTTGGGGAACACTTGCAGATCTACATTAAGTTGTATCATCTTCTACCTACCTTCTCCCTAAACCAATGAAAACACAGATCTGTACAGGAAAAGACGCTTCCAGGTTTTCAAAATGGTCTATAAACAACTTTCATTTTATCTTCAGTACAGCTATGTCAGATGATATTATTTGCCCCATCCCATTTGTGTTTCATCACAAATGATGAAACTGAAGCTTAGGAAGTTAAGTTACTTGTCCATAGTCATACAGCTAGTGAATGAAGTAGGATTTGAATCCAAGTCTCTCATTACCCCTAAGGTCCAGGCTTGGAGTTTAAATATACAGCAAAATGACAGTACTTTATTTGGAAAATGTGAGGGCCTCTGGTTTTAGGACCACAGGAATCTAGTCTAACCCCAAATTAGGAATTATGAGATTAGATTATAATACCAAGACACATGGCATTAGGAAAAATCAGATTTGGGTGTCAAGAAAGGTGGGAATTTATTTGTCTTGTCCATCAAGATCAAAAGTTTTTAGGGTTTTTAGAAAGAAGTTAATTATGGAAAAGAGGAGAGCCGAAATATGTGGCCTGCACCCCCTAACCCCTATGAGTTATACTTTATTTAGAATTCAAACAAAGTAGCAAGGAAAGAGACACATAGATTGATTAAAATGTAGACCTCAGGAAATTGAGAATTCCTTGCATCAATCTTTGGATTCCCTGGAAGGTTTCTGGGGTCAGCATGACCTGGACATTCTGAGCTAAGCATTAAACTAGTCTAGTCTGTAAGCAATGTATGTCTGATTTCTTGTCATGCAAGTCTAGATTCAAACAATGTAATAACTACCCTCAAAGCCTCATTTAAAGTAATACACTGCCGAAATGTGTTTTATAGACCCTAACACTGTGTATATCAAGGGTGCCTGCAAAAATAATGGAAGAGAAGGGGCACGAGGAGGTATTGGTATCTCCTGGGGTCCAGACCATGATCGGTAAGTACAGTCTTAAAAGAAGCTAAAAATAACTTAAGATTTTAAAGAGGTAATTGGACAAGTCATGAGGTAAGCTCTAAAATTATCCTTTCTCAGTGCATTGTGAGAGAATTATTTGGAAAACCAATAATGGAAATTTATTTATTTATTTTAGATTTACAAGTAATTTACCATTTACCTGAGAGCCACAGTCATTATTAAAGCAACACAGAATAGGATAGCAATATAATCTAGGGCCATTGATACTGTCCTACTCTTTATTGAATCTCACCTTGTCCCCATTTCCCAGGTCAATGAATTTGCCTGAGGCTGACCCAGACTTTGTTACTCCCAGCCTCTAATTATTTTTGTAAATCTCCCAAACTCTATCCCTAAGCTTTCTCTTTGAATTTTTGCTTGTTTTGCAAAACAACTTAACTTGTGAAACTGAGAGGCCCCTAGCCCCTTCCACCTGCTACTTGGCCATTGTCTCTACCTTAGTGGAGTACTCTATGTAAATCCTGTTCCCAGCCCCCTCCTTGGGTATCCCAGCACGGGCTACGTGGCACCCTGAGTTGCCCCTTACTTGCCCTGATTAAAAGACCTCCATTTTGCTATATTGGCTGTATTCTCTTGAATTCAGGTTGACTGTATCTTTTGTTTTACAGAATGGATGGTTGCAAGCCTTTAAGAATGTGAAACTAATGTTCAATTATATTAACCTTCTGAAATCCAAAATGTTCTAGCCTAGAGTATTCTTGTGTATTATGTTTTTATTGGGTTTTTTTTTAAGCAGAAACATAAGTGATACATATTCTGGACGACAGACAAACCAAAGTGCATCATTAGAAGTAAGTTACAGATCTTGATCTTTAGAAGAAAAAAATCATTCTGAAGTTGATTATTTTAGGTTTGCATTCATTTATTTCTGTTGACACTAACTGTAGTTACAAACACTTCTAGCTTTGTCTAAAGGCAACTGTGAGGTCTAACAGTACTAAGTTTGGAGTAAGGAGAACTAATTTCAAAATTCTCTACGGTTAATAGCACTATGATCCCTTAAGTCCCATTTTATTCCATTTCTAAAAGTAACAGCTGTTGAAGGACCTATTTTACAGGATTGTTTTTTCATGGAATGTCCATGGCCTAAGGGGCGGAAGACTTCCAAGAAACTTTGCTTGGAAAGATGTTCATTTAAATAGTTAGCATTTATATGTAGGTTTGCAAAGTGCTTTTATATTCATTGTCTCCTACACATTGTCCTCATTTTACAAATGAGGAAATTGAGATTGAGAGAGATTAAGTGATTGCTCAGGCTCACACAAAACTTAAATGTCTTGAGATACAATTTGAATTCTACTTTTGCCAATTTCAAGTCTAGCAGTATCAACTATTCACTGAATTGAAGCATTTCACATCTAGGGAATTGGGAAAGGCATCAGGAATGAAAATAAATATTTTAAGAAACTCTTGCTCCCTTGTCAGGAAACAGGAAAAGCTTTAGCAAGCACGCAACCTCATAATATCCTTCAATTTCTTATCCCATTGAAGGGGATGAAATAACTCCAAAATTGGTACCTCCTTCCAAAATTACCTTTGTCTTCATATTTTCTATATTCGTGTTTAACTTTTTGTCAGAATTGTATCTTATGGTTCCCCTCACCACTCCATTACTTAAGTAATGACATAAGTAGTAGTATAAGGTACAATAATGGGAAATAAGATTGTAAAAGGAAACAGAAGTAAGTTGCAAAACTGCCTCATAAATTAGGGGAGCATAGAAGCTGTTGGCAAAATGTAAACCATCTAAGGTCACATCCTGACACTGCTAAATCAGGAGAAGCCAGCTAGACCCCTTAGGTTAGGCACCCTAACAGCCTGTAGTAAAACTATGTAAATTATAGATCCCTAAAGTGGTACCTATAACTTTGAGGTGATATTGGAATGTTAATGAACTAACCCTGAAATGGCTTAGATGAGAGTGTGTTCTGTACCTCCAAAATCCCATTAAAATGGGTCCCTGGAGCACCACTACCTTCCATTTCCCTCATCACACCTTCATCGCTGTCAAGATATCAGGAGACAGACACCCTGTTTTCCAGGTTAGAGGCTGGTTCCACGTCCAGCTGACATTGCTCCAACTTGTAATATTGAAGATGTGTTGTTATCATTATCAGGGTTGGACTACTGTATTATTTGTCCCCTTCTAATTTCCCACCTATGGCATTCCTTTTTATTCATGATTATTCCCATTTCTAAAATACATCACAACAATAATATGGTGTAGGACATCCAAGTATTATCCCTATTTGACAGGGAAGCAGGAGAAGCAAAGCAATGGTTTCACATCCTAAGGTCACAGGGCTAGTGGGGTGTGCTTGAGAACTCCTATGATCAAAAGTGCATTCATAATTCTTATTTATTTAATACTAGAATGATGAAAATTGAGAAATCTCATGCCTTAGCAACTAAATATTTTTCCAAGGCAGCTACCAAAATGATTGAGCAAGCAAAGGCCCAAAATATGGACAGAGTTACTGTGTACACAGATAACCAACTTATCACCAAAGGTAAGATTTGTGCTACTTTCTGGGGATATGCATGGTATCTTCAGAGAAAAGGGACAAACTCATCTCTGTCCAAAAGCCCAGCAAAACAGATAAACCCATCCTCGAGAGATCCTAAAGTCAACCAGAAGGATCTGGTTTAGATAACTTTTATATTTCTCTGGAGAGTCAGAAGTCCTGGGCTCTCTAGCTATTTCTGACACTGACCAAAGCTGTTGGGTATTGAAATCACTTCTGTTTGGGGTCAAACCCAGGTCTTCCAAAATCATCTGTTCCTACCACACTGCTACACTGTAGTAAGACAGCAGGTTGGTGGGATTAGGACTACGTTTATTTGGGAATTGTGCGGTTCATTTAAGGATTCGAAGCTCCTGGGTGGGGGAATGGATGACAGATGATGGACCAAAAAAAAGCCCATTGGCACAAATATTTTCCCATTGATGTTGTATGGTTGATAATCTCCCATGGGTTAAAGGTGAGGGAAACAACAGAACAACAGACACAATGTGTTCAATGGATCCTCTATGGATAATTTTTTTGGAAAATAGATAAGAACTACACAGGATAAGGCTGTGAAAGGGTCTGTGTGGATGGAGTGAGCTGATAATGATAAAACTACAAATTACTGAAGAGTTAAAATTTAACCAAGCAGTAGAATTCTGTGTAACAGTCACAATTCTCTCCTGTGGTTGCCAGCTACATGGTGTTGCTAAACTGTAAACTTACCTGATCTCTGGTTATCACATCTTTAAAATGGAGAGAATGTTTCTGCCTCTTCCACTGCATGCAGTGAAAACTGAATTTGAATTACTAGTCAGTGTCGTCTTCCTGTTTGGAGGTAAAGAGAATCCTGGTTTCTTAAAAGTCTTGACTTGAAAAGTGAGCATACTCTGCTAGGTACTATCATCTAGAAAAGCTTTGTATTTAACCTTACAACTTTCATGATGGTCTTTGTCATTGAGGATTGGTCTAGCTAAGTTTGTAGGAGCTGTAGGGTAATGACATTTTTCGCCATGGCAAGTCTCAAAAAGACTTGTATGAAGGCGTAAAGGGAATATGATCTATATCCATAAAAAACATACTTCCTTCCTGACTACTCCTCTGACCCATAAATCCTTAATCCATTTTTGTTCTGAGAAAACCAAGCGCTTCTAATAAACAGATTAATATTTACTGGGGTAGGGATTAGTTAAACATTGGTAATAGAAGGAGAAACAGTTTGCATGTAGAATACACATACTTTTTCTCTATATGAAATGATATAGAAGGACTTTTGTTTTTGTTACGACATTTAGGGAATAAAAGGTAATTTTCATGAGCTTTTAGACATTGCTTGGAAAAAATGCAATCAGATGTATAACATCCATAATCTGTTCTAATTATAGCAATAAAGATAGTATTTTTCTTTAATTTTGGAGTCTCTGGGGGAATGTATTTTTTTTTATTATAGACGCTTGATTAGGAAAAAAAATAATAAGGAAAGGTATCTTTAAATTACACAGGTATGAATGAATGGGTTGGCAAGTGGAAAGAAAACGGCTGGAAAACAAGTAAAAATAAAGATGTTGTCCACAAAGACCAATTCATTAAGCTGGATCGTATGACTCAGAACATGGATGTTGAATGGGTGAGGCATTTTTGTCTTTGTTGAGACTTCTCTTTTCTCGCACAATAACCCAAGGTAACAGAGGCATCTAGAAATCAAAGCTCAGAGTGTAATGTTGAATCTGTTTTTAAAGTTGCCTGTTACTCGGGATACTGAAAAGCTTTCAATGCAAAATGGATTTTTGTCAGGAAATCACTGAATCTTGTACTTTAAAAAAAAAATGGGGAATGAATGGTTTAAGAATTAAACCCAACCATTAAAAAAAAAATCCAGGCTCTAATAATTAGTTGGCACTTCTCAATGTAAGTAATAAAACCTCATCTATAAAATGGGTATAACACTTTTAACCTACTTCCATCCTGACACTCCAGGCAGACCCTGTAACAATTCACAATTTTCATTTGTTCTTTTTGAGTGGTCTTAGGTTGGAGGAAGCTTTTTAAAAGGCATACCAGAAGAAAAAAAAGGGAAAGAGTCCCAGAAGCATGATTTTAAGTGATTAAAATTTCATAGTTGGTATTATAAAGGAGAACCAGAACCATATTATTAGTATGAAAAGTCATGAACTTCCTTTCAGTAAATTGAGATGGATTTGGATCATTTCTGTAATATCCTTTGTGAATGCTAACTCTGCTTAAACCTGGTAACTGGTGTTTGTGGTTTTACTGTACAGGAATAGTTGAGATTAATTAAATTTCAACACTTCTTGTTTGTTTTAACAGAACTATGTACCTGCTTGGTCTAAAGTTGAAGGCAATGCTGAAGCTCAAAGATTAGCCAGAGAAGCAACTAGAAAGAAGTGAGAAGACTTAACTAAATCAATACTTGGAAATGGTGTTAAAGTGTCATTCTCTTTAACCCTGCAATATAATCTCCAAATTATTTTCTCTTTACCCTCTTCCCAGCCTCCCCCTTCAGTTTGAGCTATCTTCCATGGTTCTCTTTGGTAATTTTTTTCTTCATATCCTTTCTCAATTTTTTTGTGTGCTATTTTTTCTTCAATACTATAAACAAAAAAAATACTATATACTATACATACTATAAACATACTGTAAACAACTGTAGGAATTGTTCCCATGTACTAACAGTAAGAGGCAGATATCGTCATCTCTGTCATAACCAACTGAACTCTGACTTGCTCAGCTCTTGCTCCAGATCACCTAGAAACCAATCCAGGCTGCTTGACTGCTCACATGACTTGGGGTAATGGGAGTCGCCAACTTTTCCTTCAGATAAAATAGATTAGGAAACCTGCTTTGCCATCTGTGCTTTCTAAGGACTTCCTGGCTTTACCATTTGCCCTTCTATGTCCTACAGTATCCCAATATCATCTGACCTTCTGACAACCTAAAGATGCCTGTCTGGGCCATGTAATCTGCCTTCTGGTGCATCCTTATGACTTTTGGGACTTAGAACTTTTTAAAAGCTTTTTATTTACCCAGCAACTGAGCTCTCTAATATGTTGTCTTCCCCTCCCCACCCAGCCAAATGTGAACTTGACCATAGACCGTCTTTCTGTATTTGTCATCCATCCCCAGTACTGAGCATAGCACTTGGAACTTAGTAGGAATAGGAATTCAATAAATGTTTTTTCATTAATTCATAATGTCTGGTTTATGACTCTCCTAACCCTTCTGATAAGTGCCATTTTTTACTTTATGAAACAAACACCCCTTTTTCCATTTAAGAAAAATCTAAGAAAAATCTTAAGTATATGATAAAGGTAGGAACAACAACAAGGAGGGATTTGGGAAGAGGCCCAAAATGGGTGTTCAGTGATATTCTCATCAATAATGTTGAATATTTCACATTTAAAATTTATTTTTTTGGTAAAATAATGCTTTTTTTACTTTTGCAATTCTGGATATTGTTTGCTCTTAGAAGTCTATGGAAGTTTCTTATAGATGCTAGATGTCACAAGTCAAATAATTGAACTGTTCCTGTTTAGTGACTGGTGTGTTTTCTCATCAAAACTCCACCAACTTCCTCTTAAACCCTAGCAACTCTGGTTTTTTAAAGGCTATGAAAGCAGAACACAAGCCTCTATATTAATTGAAGTAGTTGTTTCAATACCCACCATAAAATGTGTTGTGTCCCCCCTCCCCTTGAGAGCAAGGAGTATCTCCTTTTGTATGCATAGGTATAGCTTGATCTTAGCATGGTCCTTGGTATTTTACTTAAGAAATGACCTCCCCTAAATGTGGCTACCTAGAGCACTCTGGGTTCTAAGGCTTTTTCCTGAACTATTAAAGAGGTTTCTAGTACTCAAGAACCCCTTGTGTGCCTCCTACTATAATTGTAGTTGATGTCAATTAGGCAACCAGACAATTAGTTTTTACAGAGATAATTAAGGTGACATAATATGAAGAGTTGGTATAAATGTCTCAAAAGTCTGACACCACAAGTACTACATACAAGTACATATTTTCAGGGTAAAGTTGTTTCCACCGTAGTTACCCTTTAGGCAAGGGGTAACTCAGTTCCTGGACTTATTTTGCTAGAGTCCTAGGGATTCTCTTGAGGTATAGTGAAGCAATTCTGCATAGGCTCCTTGGATCTGTTTTACTTATCAGACTGTGTCTGTCCTTGGCTCCTAATACAGACCTGATACTGCTGTCAGCTGTTCTTTTTAGATACTGATGGGAAGTCCAAAATCCTGATTCCCGAAAGTTCTTGAGGTTATCTTAAGGTGAGGGGTGAAGAGATAGACCTGAGCTGAGGCCAAATCCTTCAGCAACTGGAGTAAAATCACACTAATACTTCATGTACTTGTATGTAGTACTTGTGGTGTCAGACTTTTGAGACAGTTATACCAACTCTTCATATTATGTCACCTTAATTATCTCTGTAAAAACTAATTGTCTGGTTGCCTAATTGACATCAACTACAATTATAGTAGGAGGCACACAAGGGGTTCTTGAGTACTAGAAACCTCTTAATAGTTCAGGAAAAAGCCTTAGAACCCAGAGTGCTCTAGGTAGCCACATTTAGGGGAGGTCATTTCTTAAGTAAAATACCAAGGACCATGCTAAGATCAAGCTATACCTATGCATACAAAAGGAGAAACTCCAAGCTCTCAATTTGAATTCAGGTCTTGTAACTCCAGAGCCATACTCTTTCCCCTCCTCCATACTTCCTCTTTATGTGCTCATTCCTTAGTCCATTCAAACTGAGCAGCCAATGGCCGCCTTATCTTCCTCTTCCACCCAATGTACCTAAAACAAAGCAAAACCCTTTAAAAACCAACTCGAATGTCACCTCTAGGTGATGAAGCAATCCCTCAGCCCCTTAGTTGATAAAACTTTCAATCACAAGGCACTTAAATCATAAAATATTATGAATTATGGCTATAACATTGCTAGACTGCAATTCCTAGAGGGCAAGGCCTATGTCCTCTGTAATCTTTGTATCTCAGCACCTAAAGCTATGCTTTGCACTTACTTTTTTCATTCAAGTTTGACACCCTTTACAAAGAAGACCTTACTAACCCCTCCACACAGCTCATTCTAATCAATCTGTCCCGATGTTAGAAAATCTTTATTTGTAACTGAAAACTGCCTTACTGTAACTTCCAACCAAGAGTCCTAATTTTGCCATTGGTATAAATGCTCAACTTCTTGAAACATAACCTGGTATAGCCCAGCTTTATTTATCCTTGAACTGAAACCCTAAAATTTATGGAAAGAAGGCAATAAAAATGCTAATGAAGAGGAAAGAAAACCACAGCTGGGTGGGTGCCAGCCTGTCTGGCTGTTGCTCTGATATGATAATATATAGCTTTCATGGGTAATGGTTTCTTTCTCTAATGGCAGCAACCTATTATCTACTTATCCACTTAAATGTTTTATGGTTCTGGGTTGGTGGATGGGATGTGTGGGCAAAGAGCATTGTAAAAAAAAAAAAGATCCCCTTTGGGGGTGGCAAAAAGGGGGGGTGATCTAAACAGGTATCAAGCAAACATTTCTCAATGTTGTGGGCACTGTACTAGGGGATGAGGCTAAAAGGCAAAAATGGAGGAGCTTCAAATAGAAAAGAAGGTAGTGCTTGAGCTAAATCTTGAAGGAAGTATTTGAAAATGAATGACTTCTGGGCATAGGGAACAGCCAATACAAAGATACTGAGACAGGAGCTGTGGTGCTCCCTGCCTTTTGAGTGTGCAGAGATAAGTTGAGGGTGTTACAGGGAGAAGTATCTGCCAGTGAGTTCATGTAATAGGCAACTGCTACTGAATAATGCTTAAAACTTGGGTTTTATTATACTTAAAACGTAGATCTTGTTGTTGAGTTTATAACCCCATTTGAGGTTTTCTAGGCAGAGATACTGGAATGGTTTGCCATTTCCTTCTCCAGCTCATTTTCCAGATGCTGAAACTGAGGCAAATAGGATTAAGTGACTTACCCAGGGTCACACAGCTAGTGAGTGAGTTCATATTCAAACTCAGGTCTTCCTGACTAAGCCTAGCGTCTCTCCATTGCTCCTCCTGGCTGCCTGAGTGCAGGTTTAGGAGGTAGAAAAATAATCCTGAGCTCCAACTGGAACTAATAAAGAGACCTTTATTAGGGAAAATTAAATCAGAGGGACAGGAGTAAATTTTTTTAATATGTAGCCATCATTATGGCCTCTCAAAGATTATTTAATAAAAAAAAAGGATTATTTAATCCAGTTTCATCCACCCAATGCTTCTATCTACAACCTCTCTGACAATTTCTGCTCAGAAACCTCCCATGATTATTCCCTCCTTTACAAGGCAGTTCATTCCATTGCTAGATAGCTTTAATTTTTTTTTTTTTTGAGAGCGAGGCAATTGGGGCTAAGTGATTTGCCCAGGGTCACACAGCTGGTGTCAAATGTCTATTCTGAGACAGGATTTAAACTCAGGTCCTTCTGACTCCAGGGCCTATGTTCTATCCACTGCACCACCTAGCTGACCCTAGACAGCTTTAATTCTTAGGAAGGTCATTATATTGAGCCAAAATCTACCTCCTTGCAACTCCACTCTCTTTTTCCTAATTCTGCCCTTCTATGGTCAACTTGAACTCAGGAAGACCAAAGTTTGAATCTTGCCTTGGACTTTTACCAGCTAGACAAGGCATTTAACCTCTCTTGGCCTCAGTTTACTTATCTGTAAGAAAAAAAGATAATAACACCTACCTCAGATAGTTATTGTGAGGATAAATTAAATAGTATGCATAAAGCACTTTGCAAACCTTAAAATGGCATATAAATGTTAGCTTTTATCATCATCAACCCACATTGCAACCCTTCAAATACTTGATAGCTATTGTATCTTCAAGGCTTAGATCTTTTTTTCTCCAACTTCCTTCAATTGACCTTAGCAGTATGGAGTACATTTACATTTTGTTGTCTTCTTCTGGATGGTCTCCAAATGATCAATGTCGTCCTAGCATCTGATCCCTAAAACCAGACACAACTCCAGCCATAGGATATCCAGAGGCTAGGACAATGGTTCTCCCACCTTCCTCATTCTGGTGCCTAGTCTTTATGGCATGTGCCTATCATCCCACTAGTTTTCTTTTGTTTGCTTAATTGGTTTTTTACTCTCCTACCACATTAATGACTCCTGTGAGCTTGTGATCCTCAGAAATGTCCAGGGTTTTGCTATCTGCATTACTGCCTGGCCAGGTATCCTCCATCCTGTGCCTATACCGGTGGCTGTCTAAACCTAAGTTTCCTATTATGTTTCATCTTAACAGATGTGGGTTATTAATTGTGAGGCAGCCTGACATAGTGTGTGGAGGACTAAGCTTGGTGTCAGGAAGATCTGCTTCACTTTCTGCTTCAGACACAGATTAGCCGTGTGACCAGCGAATGGCATATGAAATTGTGGATAAATTGCCAAGCTTTATCTGTGATGGGAGTTTCCAGGGTTTCTACTCAGATGAAATCATGGATGTGGAATATTTTTTTTTTAATTGGGCTATGTGGGGGCAGCTAGGTGACAAAGGGGATAGAGCACCAGCCCTTGAGTCAGGAGGACTTGAGTTCAAATCCAGCCTCAGACACTTACTGTGTGACCTTGGGCAAGTCACTAATGTCCTTTAAAGGACTAAAATGTCCTTTAGTTCCAAGCTGTTGAGGGTTTTTTTGTTTTGTTTTTACACATTCTGGTTCAATGATCCAGTGAATTGGATATTCCTCCCAGGTTTTCATCACCTTGTTGCCTTCAACCAAGTCCTTAATAAAAATGACACTTAAGTCACTGGCATATGTTTAATGGAGAGTGGGCTCTAAAAAGCTCTTTTAACTGTGATTAATTTTATTTTTAAAGTGATGATTATTTTTATTAGGCAACATTAATGCATTATGAAGAATGTTTTCCCCTGATCTCTCATGGACAGTTTACTTTTCACAATCAACACACTCCAGGCCTTTGTTCAAATGGTGTTTGCCACCTGATATGCATCCACCCTCATTATTATTAATTGTAGAACATAACTGAATTCAAAAACCTTTGGCTCTAGACAGAAATCCTTTGGTGCCCTGTCAGGAGTATTCGTAATGGTAGAAAGCACTAAAAGAGATGACCAGCAAGTGGCAGTGTTGGACAATAAGCAAGAATCCATCCAGGTGTCCCCAGAGG